GTGGTTTTTCTTTTCATGAAAGCTACCTTAGAAAAAATAAAGGTCAACAATATCAAACATCAACATGAATGGCCAATTCATTACAATACAGTAATTTGTATTTCTACAATAACTTTTGTTAATATTAAACAACCTCATGAACTCAATGCCCAGCAGAATTTTAAGGATCAGATTTTCAATATTAAAAAAAACATCAATTATTTGAATTTCCATTGATTTTCAACAACAATTTTTTTTTTCTTTCTTAACAATTCTTAAACAACTACTTCAATAACTACGATTTTCTACATTAGCTTTTGTTAAAATTAAACATTTTCATGACTGACTAACAGAATAGACCATACTTCCAATAGTACTATTTGTTTATTAACAATCATCTGACATAAAGCTGATAAAAGCTCTCATCTGTAATCTTATTTGTAACTTTCAACTGCGATACTACACTGAAATAACATTAAATAATTACACTCGTACAAAAGTACAAAGTATTTTCCACGATAACTTCTGTCAACATTGGAGGTATTCATTGACAGACAATGAAAAATCAGCTTAATCTGACTTATGACCCAAAATAAATAAAAGGAGAAAGTCCATCATGACAAACGATGATTTACTTTAAGCGGTACTTTGGATTCAAACAATCATATTTATATCTTTTATAAAGTGTCGGGTCATTCATAGTTGTAGAGTCAACTAATAATGTTTAAGTGTTTTAGCAAATACACTCAAAATAAAAACAAATATTACGTTCAATTAGAATCCATTTCTTTAATAATGACAGATAAATTTGTAGGCGCCAACATTTCGTACAGAGACTAATTTTTGTCAATTGATAGTCTATTAAAAAAACTGGCCAAGAGTTCAAGTACTGCTGCATATAGTTAAGCCTATACATATTCTGACTCAGCAAAAACTATTCAGTCGACATATTCTTGTTGAGGCATAGTATACTTGATTGGGCGATAATTTGAATTTTGGTGAAATTTTTGAACATTTCTAGGTATTTTTTTTAACATCAATAGAACTGTATCACAAATTGTTGACAGAATCTCTGAAAGTATAATTTTCTGCAAATATCATTTTTCGATATTCAGATTTAGTTTAATGACTTCTAAATGAAAAAAAAAATCTGAAATCCTGCGAAAAAATAAAATTCAAAACTGAAAGTGTTTAATTATATAATATTATTGGTTTTCCTTAACTAACATGTTTCATGTTTATATATTTCTTCTTTACAAACAAATGCTTGGGACATGTCTAACCCCCACCCCCCTTTTTTCTGTTTTACAGATAATTTCAAATAAAACTTAATAATATAAGAAATACCTTTAAAATAGGTTTGACAAATTTCTTCAAAGAATTTATTGAATTGTGTAATTATTTCCTTCAGTAAATACACTGTGAAAGTTAGAAACTATCAGCAAATAGAACAGTTTGTTTAAAATCAACACAAGAACCACAAACGTTACTTTCATTAATGATCAAAATATTTCACACAAATACCAAACTTGGAATTCCTGACAAAATGAAAATTTATTTCAAGAGATCAAACGAGAGCACTATTTAAAATATAAACAAAGATAAAGAGAACAAGTAGATCAATATTTTACTGTCAGCCATTTTATTATATTTTATGAAAGACTATTTTTGAAAGACAAGAATCTGAGGCCTTTATGTATTTAACAGTTAAATTGTCTTTCTAACTTTGCATAATTATTTTTTTATAATACTTATGTAGCATTGACAAGATATGGGTCCATGTGTGACAATACTTCTGTAGCATTGACAAGAGATGGGTCCATGTGTGACATTACTAATGTAGCATTGACAAGAGATGGGTCCATGTGTGACAATACTTATGTAGCATTGAAGAGATTGGTCCATGTGTGACAATACATATGTAGCATTGACAAGAGATGGGTCCATGTGTGACAATACATATGTAGTATTGACAAGAGATGGGTCCATGTGTGACAATACATATGTAGCATTGACAAGAGATGGGTCCATGTGTGACAGTACTTATGTAGTATTGACAAGAGATGGGTCCATGTGTGACAGTACTTATGTAGTATTGACAAGAGATAGGTCCATGTGTGACAATACTTATGAAGCATTGACAAGAGATGGGTCCGTGTGTGACAGATCTGGCTCATTCATTGAGAATTTCGCCTTTTAAAAGTAAAACCTCTGTTAATGCATTGAGAAAATGCACACTTCATATCAAAATGAAAATTTTTAGTAAAAAGTTCTAAATGCTGAAAATGGCCCATTTGTTAAATCTCTTCTAATTCATTAAAATGTTAAGAAAAATTAAGAAATTAAAAAAATTATGTTTCCTTTTTTTCTTATATTCTCACAACATTGGCTTTTAACATTGGTGAAAAGTCTGTGCCAGTTTCTGGCAAAAGGCAAAACCAGAAATCCTTTCATATTGATATTAAGATTTTAATAGAGCTATGTGACAGCTATTTGAGAGCAAAGTCCTTTTTATCGTGGTGGATTTAAAACCCAATAAATCAGCATGACACTTTATTGAGGTCGTAGGTTCAAACCAGCGACACCACAATACATCAGATTTAACTCTGTCACGGAAACCACAAAAATCTTATCATCTTTTAATGTACAAAATGACCATTTAAACTTAAATATGATCAGTATTATTCTTTCATCGGTTCATCACTTTTGAAAAGCCCAAATTTTTATTACGGACATAATCTGATAGGTTTGCGCTATTTTTTAAGTCAATTTAAAAGTGCCGAGTTTACACAAAGAATATGGAGATTCTGATGACCAGGTAATGATTGTCCCAAGTCAATGTCTGTCAACCATTAAATTATCAATTTTCTAGCATTAAAATATCATCAATATTAGCTTTACCGCTAAACTGACTGTTTTAAAGTTGAAATATTGTTTAAGATCAAATGAAAATTAAATTTAACTGGCAAAAACTAAAAAAAAGACGCAAAAGTTCGTTTACAATAACATTTTGTCTATTGTCACGAAAACCTTGGATAAAATCTGATATTAAGTGAACTTATCGACCTTTTCAATTACCTGTTATATTTAATTTCTTTTTAAAAAAATAATGTCTGCAGTAGGTATGGTACTAGTCATTGCTAGTCGACATAAAGTACACTCCACTCACTTCAATTTTCAAATTAAAAAGTCCTTCAACTTTTTAAAATTAATTCACTTCAAAACAATTCTAAACCTTGAAGGAATCTATACAAGTTACCTGACAAGACAATACAATATATAGTAAATGATAAGTGATATATATATATATATATATGCAGAAGTCCTGCCACATAAAATTCTATTTTTCAATGTTTCTAGGTCCCACCCCTCCAAAGCTATATCATTACTTAAAGTCCACACACACAATCTAGGCCCTATACCTTAGACCTATACAAATTTGATAAAGTTAACTAAAGAATTATTAAGAATAAAGTATCTTAGACTTAAAGTTGTAGACATATTTATGTAAATTTAACATGTTTAATGCTTATGGTAACTTGTCCTCTATCTTGTATCTCTGTATTACCTGTTACAATGCAGACACTAACAACCATAAATCAAAGGGTCTCTAAGCTAGCCATGTATATATTATAGAGACTACAAGCTGGCCCAATTATATATTAATGAGACCATATTCTGGCCAACTTATATTGTATAGGGACTATAAGCACGTTGGTTTTATATTAAAGACGATAAATTAAAGGATCTATAAGCTAGACCATTTATAATTATAGAGACTATGAGCTAGCCCATTTATTATTATAGAGACTACGAGCTGGACCAATCATATATTAATGAGACCATAACCTGGCCAACTTATATTGTATAGGGACTATAAGCACGTTGGTTTTATATTAAAGACGATAAATTAAAGGGTCTCTAAGCTAGCCATGTATATATTATAAGAGACTACAAGCTGGCCCAATTATATATTAATGAGACCATAACCTGGCCCACTTATATAGTCTAGGGACTATAAGCAGGATGGATTTATATTAACAACGTAACTCTCTAATAAAACATTTTATCAAATTAAATGACAGCTTTCTGAATTTGTGAATAATCAAACCATGTTATTCATTTAACTTTTATAACAGTTTATCACAAGTTTTTTGTATTGACTTACATAACAACATAAAATATGGACCGAAGTAAATCAATAACTTAACTTATGAATGGGAATCAATAAGTCACCTAGATTTCAATGTCGTGCAGAAATTTTAAATAAAATTTTTACAAATCGCAAAATCAGCAAAAAGTAATTTTTTTTTTGTTTCACACAAAATATCTTGCGACAAAAAACAACTTTAAAGTCATAAACATTTCAGTTTAATAAACGATCAATTTTAATCATAGGATTTTTGTGAAAAGGGCAGTTGACAAAAACTGTGTCACTGAGTTTTTCACTAATGTCATTGAAACATTGCTCAAATCATTCATATTACATTTGATTGAAACAGATGTGAAAATTAGTCCCTTCCTTACTGGTTACATGTTATTTTATTTTTTCTCAAATAACCTTCAATAAAGGTTTGATTACACCCTTTTCTTTCATACTTTAATTCTATTTTATCTACGCTTCAATTACGATATCAGCAAAACCACCATGAAACAAAAAAAAAAACCTGTAGCTTTGTAATTTTAGCATGTTAATTTACATTTCATGCGAGATAAATTAAAAGTTGAAAAATAAATAAGTAAAATTTTGCAACCTCATGCTGCCACCTATATTTGCTGATTAAATCATCCCTGTATCATTTAACTTTAATAGTATTACAAAATTTTCTGATAAAAAATTGTAAATTAATAATCATAACTTCAAATTACAAATGTGCTCTGTTTTAAAAGAATTGAGAGAAATTTAAAACACCAAAAAATAATTTTTTTAATTTTTGATAAGAAATACCTAATCTTTTGAAGTTAGAGATCAGTACTATGAGAGAGCCTATATACTATATAAATCAGCTGAATGGACTTACCTTGATATCACTTGCAGCAGCCGGCATGAAAACTTTCTCCTGGCGACGATTTTCCACTTTTTTCATTTTGAATTATACAATTCCCTATCCATAATTCCACAAAGTTTTAATTCCACAACTGAAAGACAATAAATCCAGTGACATTACGTATTTTTCTATTTACAAACATGTTCACCTGTTCAACACTATTCTATTAGTTACCTATATAATAATGTTATACTAACAGTTCTGACAGCCTGGGGTGATTTAATATACGATCAGGCTACTCATTCATTCCCCCATTGAATCAATGAACGTTCAAATCCATTCAATAAAAACGGTTAAATCTTCTTTTCTTTCATTCAACTTTTCTCGAAATTTAAATGAACGAAATTTAAATTTCACCTAGATATAACAGAGTCCAAACTTTATCAGATTTATTACGTAAATATGGTATCTAAATCTTCCAATGGCTAAATTATTTGATAGCCTTCATACCCCCAGTCTGACAACTTCATACTGATTTGTAAGTTTTTAAAGTTTTATTTAAATGTTTCAACCCTCTGCTGATATGGTATTAAAATCCCACTTCGTCAACTTGGTGCAGATTTGTAACTTTAAAAGTCTTGAGACTCATTCTTTAAATCTATATAACTTTTAAATCTGGGGTATTATAATTGCAGCCAGCCCTAAAGCTGCACATGGAATTAGGTCCGCTTTTTAAATCTTCTGTGTGAAATGCACATATTGTCTGAATGCAATGAACGAATTAGGGAGGAATAAAGATTTAATCCTATCAACAGAAAGTCAAAATTTAATCTTTCAATCATTACTGAAAAGGTCTTAAAAAATGGGGCCCTAGCAAAGGGTTGAGTGGGTATCCTAAATGGGGCACTAGCTCAGGACAATGGGGGTATCCAAAATGTCTTTTAAGCTTTTATGCTCTTCAATAAGTTTGAAAATGCAAACCACCACCTTACCCAACAAAAAGAAAGTATGCTCTGGTTGCAATTTAGAAAATAAGTCATTACTTTAAAGGAATAAAATAAACACTAATGAAATCTGGAAACTTTTTTGATAGTAATGTCAATTCTAAAATTATTAAGTGGGTTAAGATTTTGAATGACGGTATCTTATTTACAGATTATGTAATGAGGATTTACATATATAAATTATACACCCTTATTTCTTGTTTGTTTTCAACTGATTTATTTGCTTAGAGTTTAGATTGATGTTGGAAACTGATAGTTAAATTCTTATATAACTGCCGTAAAATCTGAAAATACTAAGAGAAATAATAATTCAATATCTCTAATTAAAAAACAATTATTATTTCTTTTTTCGTTTTTTTTGTTTTAAAATTTTTAACATTAGTAAGGAAAATTTTTCACCCTCCAAAATTCACCCTTACTTGTACCTATCTATACCTTTGTCTGTCGTCATTCAACTTCAGTGACCCTTACATTTTGAATGGAGGTGACCCTATCAATGATCAATTTATCAATACTTGGATGATTCCATTTATAGAAACAAAGGCGCAGATATATTGATAAAAACCCACTTTTGACGGGCATGAAAGAAAAACTTTGGTTAAGTTTGTATGAAATCTATAAAATATAATATTAAAGCATGTATCTGATTTACTTTAAATTTCATTTGTATTCAAGGTTAACTTAATAACAGGAAGATTTCTTCATTTATTACATTGATTTTTCGAAAGAAAAGATTTGTTCAGCGCTAGACATATAGATATCATTAAAAACAAGTTGTATTGTGAGCTTTTGGTCACTTATAATACCCCTGCTATAAGTATTAGGTAAATAGGAAGTTAATGAGCAATTGATGTGAAAATGCATCACACAGTTTCGTATGCTCACACGAAGGTGGACATCAAACTTCAGGAATCTCTGATTTGTAGTTCATTAGAAGAATGTGACAGAAATTTCATGGGACAGACAGACAGACAAACAGACAAACAGACACACAGACAGGGGTAAAACAGTATAATCCCTCCTTTGGAAAAAAATCAAATCAGCTGAAATCAACAATAAAACTAATGCTAAGACTAACTATGATGATGATACCCTCAATCATAATTCAATGTACCTGGTATTTGAAAAATGGAAATAGGTTTCAGACAGATTCAATAAGCACTCACATGTTAAAAATCATCACTGTCAAGGGGCAGACCAAATATGAAGGCATTTTATTCAGTAGTACAGGAGAAATGTGTGACAGAAATATTGTGACAGAAATATACAAATATTAAGTTCATTCTACACTTAAAAAAATTCAAAGTATCAGCCTGCTATCATACAAGTTTTTAAAGTACTGACAAATCCTTTCATACCTGCTAACTTAACATTAAATTTCCATGTAGCATTTTAAATGCAAAAGGACCGAATACATCCCTTACTCATATTATAAGTGTTCTTGATTTGATATACTGGTTTTGAAAAAATTTAGTGCTCTGACAACTTTTTTCTAGCCTGGGCCATATGGGTTGTGGTTGATTATCAACACTATCGTGAAAGGTGAAGCTATCATTGTTTTTTAAAAGAAACAAGACAACTTTTGAAAATTTTCTTTGATCCATCATCTTCCTGAAAATGCATGAAATATTTCCCACTGGACATAAAACAAACACACAATTGGTCTGTGACATCATTAAAGTGATATCAAAAGAGATTTTTTCAATTATTTTCCAAAAACAGACTATTTCTAAAATCATTTTGGTTAAATTAACAAAGAGCACAATCATTACAAAAGATATTTTGTTGCCAGTAAATACATAAACACAATACAACTGTTGACATATCATTTTAGGTCATCATTGTTTTCAATAATATTACAAGGCATATACAAGTTGAATAGCCAAGGTCTTGTCTAATTTCGCCATTTTACTGAAATTACTGTTATTCTATTGCTGTTTGGACGATTAAAAGGGTATATTTTTTTAAAATGCAATGTTTTATTGAAATTAAATATATTGAGTATTTGATTATGAAAATCAGACATCTATACTACTTTCCAGTATGTTCTTTTTTGACCAGGCCAGATTTGGTGGTGTTACATCTTACAAATTCTATCCAAATTATTTTTGCAAAGAATTCCCCTAAAACTGGTGTTAGGGGCTGTCTTAAACTTGCAGTGAGGTGAGAGTTGTTTTGCTCTGTGTTGAAGGCCTCACTGTGACTTTGAGAGGAAAAACAGCAATAAAAGCGCTGTTACTTTGGCTTTTTGAATGTTTTTTGCTGTTCATTTACTGATTTTGTGTAATGGATGAATACCCCATATCCTTTGTTTTTCCATAGTCTGAAATATATTTGATTTAAGGGTTATATTGGCTCAAAATAGTATCTTCTCCTTCGCCCTATCACTACCCGTTGATGTTGGACATCCTCTGACAAACTACCCATTGATATTGGACATCCTCTGACAAACTACCCATTGATGTTGGACATCCTCTGACAAACTACCCATTGATATTGGACATCCTTTGACAAACTACCCATTGATATTGGACATCCTCTGACTAACTACCCATTGATATTGGACATCCTCTGACAAACTACCCATTGATGTTGGACATCCTATGACAAACTACCCATTGATGTTGGACATCCTCTGACAAACTACCCATTGACGTTGGACATCCTCTGACAAACTACCCATTGACATTGGACATCCTATGACAAACTACCCATTGACGTTGGACATCCTCTGACAAACTACCCATTGATATTGGACATCCTCTGACAAACTACCCAATGATATTGGACATCCTCTGACAAACTACCCATTGACATTGGACATCCTCTGACAAACTACCCATTGATATTGGACATCCTCTGACAAACTACCCATTGATATTGGACATCCTCTGACAAACTACCCATTGATATTGGACATCCTCTGACAAATTACCCATTGATATTGGACATCCTCTGACAAACTACCCATTGATATTGGACATCTGTGACTACACTCTAACTGCTTCCTCCAGGTAATCCATTCTGTATTACAAAAGTAAAGAACACCTTGCTGTTTATACCACCATATTGTTGATACTAATAATCTATGGAAGCTAACTCATAACTGAAATATCTGTTTCATTCTCCTTCAAATCTCTGAAAAATTAAATTGTAAAATGTTTGCTGGCAGCCATATAAAGATCCTGTAGTGCCAAAATAATATGTTTGTGTGTTTATACTGCCACTCAACCCATTCTATTTATATCTGCTAGTTTTATTTTTTTTAAATTTCCATTAAGAATTATTTAATTCACAATGTCTTCCCAATAGTATCAAGGTTGAACAAAAAAGTATTAAAAAAATCCCTTATTTTTGTTCATTATGTGTTAGTAAACTCATGTATTTTTCTCCTTACTGAGGAAATGATTTTAAAGATTTACCTTCTAGTAAGATGAAGTACATTAAGCTAACTTTCAGTAACAATGTGCATTTTGTGACATGTCTTGCTTTTCAGTAACTCATATATAATATGTTTAAAATATTTTTTCTTCAACTGACAGTAGCGGATTCAGATCAAGGCTTCCAAAACGGTCATATATGCTGGACATTTGTATAATGTCCGGTAAAAGTCCGGCTGGTCAAAGCATGAAACGGTCATCTACTTTTTAGTTTTCAAGGCTTTAAGAGACGGTCATTTTAACATAATTCGCGATCTTTTTGACCCAACCTTTTGCCTTTAACAGCCACACATTTCCGGTCATAAAAGTGACATGATCATTAAGTACTATCAAAACAACCCCTACTTTAATACCTTCTCATTTTAATCAAGGCTAATTAGTTGTCAAACAGCTGAAATTTACCTGTTCATGTGACAGGTAAACTATTTTGAACCGGACATTGATCGGTCTATTCAAAGTTATTTTCTTACATTTCAGCGGTTTGCATCTAATTAATTTAGTCAAAGATTTAAATTATCAGAAATACGTTTACAAATATGATTTGATGAAAAAATTAAAAAGGTGAAAATGAAAAATCGTCATAACCAGGTTGTTTGAAATGTCTCTGTTTGAACTAGTACACGTGTGCGCATGTGCGCAGGTGTGAAATTTAATTATGCATCCTAATTTCTTCAAAAAATGCTTAAATTGTCATTGATACCTTTATTTCATGTTTATTTCGAATATTTTCTTGAAGAAATAACGTAGAAAGAGCTACTTCCACTCATTCACGCTTTGCAAACGTACATGGAATTTACGTATCCGTCTCTGGTCCATGTTTTACCATTGTCAAAATTACATCCGGTTTAAAAACGAAAGTAGTTTTTGACAACGTTATTTTGCACAAATAAAGAGTCTAAGGCAGATATAAGTACGCTGATGTTGCACACTTCGAATGATGCACTGCCAATTTAACAGTCTACGTCAGAACTTCGAATTTGAATCAAAGAAAGTTTAATATCTTTTTTTTAATGTCAATCATTGGGATGGCCAACTCGGCAACTGATTACCATAATTGCCTTTTGTTTATTTAGTCTTAAGGGATAATATATAAAATGTCCGGCTGGCTAAAAATTATTTTGGAAGCCCTGATTCAGATGGAGGCTTAAAGGACCTTTTGATCAGAAAAATATGACTTTTGGCATAACGTTGTCAAAATGAGTTTTGCCTTTCCAAGCTCTGTGTAATTTTTATAATTAGGGACAATTAATAATGCCCCTTTTCCTCCAATCCTCTGAATGATTAAAAAAAAACC